TTTATCACTAAATTTTGGGTTTTGTCTGTAGGGCTGTAGTGATTGCTGTGATTGTTCACAGTTCTTTGAGAAATTTCATCAAACACGTGGTGGGGTCAAAAATTCGTCACAATTTTTTTGGGGCTACTCAACCGGTGGCGCAAAAAGTTCATCGCAAAGAAAAAGTAAAAAAAATGNGTCACAATTTTTTTGGGGCTACTCAACCGGTGGCGCAAAAAGTTCATCGCAATGAAAAAGTAAAAAAAATGTAGTTGTTCTTTAGCTAACCAACTGGTGGGTGGGGTCTGGATCTGGGTTTGCATACAAAAATGGAGTCGTGTGCGTGTGAAAATCAGAGATGAATGTATTGGGGGTTATGGGCCTGTGGAGTGAGGCTGGTGAGAGAAAGATGAAGACAGAGAGAGTGAGAGAAAGAGAAATAGAGGTGATGACAGAGAGAGATAGAGGCAGAGAGAGGAAGAGACAGCGATGAAAAGGGAGTCAAAGAACGAAACCTGGATATGGGCGGGTGCTTCATTGGTGGATCTGGCGAGGGTGTGAGTGTCTGTGTGTGTGAGTTGAGAGAGAGAGAGAGAGAGACCTGGGCCATGGCAGAGGAACGATTGAGAAAAGCGAAAGAGAGAGGGGGTCTAGGCCTCTGGCCGGGTCTTCTTCTTCCGGCAGAGGAGTGAGAAGAAAAGATGGGTATCGACCGTTGATGGGTTGTGTGCCACTGTGTTTGGGTGGGATTTGGATTTTAAGTGGGATAAATTGTGAACCATAAGATTTAATTCCGTGAATTTAGATGCTATTTGAATCGTATATTTAAATTTCAATTAAATCGTAACCTTTCTTCTGTTTTTCTAAATTGAGAGGATCGATTTTAATTTGAAAAGTTTTAAATGAGCTCTATCTTACTAGTATAGATATAATATTATGAAGGCCTTTAAAATATGGAAGCTGGCTTTTCATAGGAGAATCTATGCACTTGTAATTCCATGATTTAGTTTTTCGATTTTTGTGGGTAATCGACTTCGAGGCATATTTCGTATTCTTAGTCGAATAAAGCTTTTACATTTTGTTTTAATGGTTGTGGTTTTCATAATTGTAATTAAGTTTGATTTGATGCAATCAATTAGTTTGCTTTGGTGTGAAAGTTTTTTTGTTTTTTTTTTTGTTATTTGAATTTGTAGCAGTAGCTTATGACTACAGTGAATGAGTCAATGAACGAATTAATTAATAATAAAAGTCTTAATATGTGTGGTTGGTGGTCAAATGTGTATACTTATTTCTTAATTTTAAGATCTGAGTTGTGAAAATCTTTTCAGTTTGTTGTGAGCTTTGCAAATTTTGGTTACTGTGGCGTGATAGTGCGTACAAGTTGAAAATTTTTTGAGGTTCCATTTTTAGGAAAAATTATAGCCAAATTTTTTTAAAATATATTGAGTTTAACTTTTTATCTAGTGAATTTTTGTTACTAATTGTTGTTTTGTTTTTAGTTACTCAGCGTCTAAAGGGACAGACATAAGATCAATTGCATCTATTATCTTGATTTGTTTCAATTTTGTTTGGATTTTGAGCTTTTATTGTAACAATTTTTATATGAGAGTTGATATGGATATTAATTAAATGCGTGGATTTGGAATTGTGGGTTGGATTTGATCAAATGTCTTCAGACACGTATTTTGTCCATTTTTTTTTTAAAAAGTGATTGTTGTAATTTGATATAGTAGGCTTGATTCTTTGGGGTGCTCGAATTTTATATTGCAAACATGCAAAGGTTATTACTAATAATCATACATAAAACGATTAGATTCTTTTTCAAATGCATCAATTACTTATTGAATAGTGTAAATAATGTCATTAAGAGTTTATTCTACTTAAAAAAGGTATTTCTAATTATAAATTGATAAAATCTTATCTACAGTCAATTTTGTTATCAAAAAAAAAAAAGAGGAAGAGAGTAGGTATATTATCTATTGACAATTGTATATTAGTAAATTTCAATCTGAAAACTTGATTAATATTTTTTCATCATAAAGGGCAAAAAATAAAATAAAATTTGGTCAATGTTATTATGTAATATATTACTCAAGCATATACTTATGGGGCCTCATTTTAACATTTCGCCTAGGGCTCTAACTTGCAAATTATTATGGTTCTTCGAAACTTTTGGAGGGTCTCTACTCGTGTCCTAGTTCATTGGAGAGCTAGATTTGTCTCAATTATTTTTTTTTTCTTCAACTTTTCTCAAATTAACTTCCGTTATTTTAAGAGTTTGCTGAGATTCTTACACCTCAATGTCATTATTCTTCTCTGCATCATTTAGTAAAAAAATAATCTCATTTCTTTCTTTTTTATCTCATCATGATTCCATCAAAGGGCTAGAGAATCAACTCAATTAGCAGTTTAAACTCGGACGGAATTTTAATTACTAAATTGGTAGCCTCCTAAATATCTAAAATAAAATTCCAATTTTAATTACTAAATCGGTTGTCATTGTTGGGGGAGACATTCTTATGGTAGTAAATGTGAACATCTCTCTCCATCTCTTACTATGCATAATAATTTAGAGTGGACCAAATATTTGAATAATTTGTTAATATCTAATTAAGTTGGATATAAGGATTGTGAACATAAAATCTATTTGATATTTGGATTGGATTGGAATTGAAATTGATGAGTTTAATTTGGATTCCATTAACATGAAATTAAATTCGAATCTAATCTGATGGAGATGAAAAACACAAAAATTAAGCACACGACCAAATAATTTGAACAATTTAATTAGTGTTCAATGACTTAAATAAGACACAGAAACATGATGGATAATTGAGCATCATTACTTAAATTTTTTTATCTTTTATTTTATTTTATTATTTTAATGTTCAATGACTATATAAATTAATAAAAAAAAATTAATTATAAACCCCTTTTTAATATTACACCCATTTTTTATTTTTTTTTGTTATTAGATATCATAGTCTTTGTCCAAGACCTAAAAATGGTTTGGTTTACTTTTATAAAAAGTGATTGAAATGTGGCCGATAAAGTATACTGCATAGTCAAAAGTTTTCACCTTTGCCTATCGTGACCCACCACCTCACCCTTAATTAGAGATTTAATATTATATTTTTTTAAAAAAATAGAGGTGCAACACTAGTAGACATAAGATTGAAAAATAAATTGGGTTAATTGTACTAGAGGTTCCTAAAGTATGAGATTTATCTCATTTTGATCTTCAATGTTTCAATTATATTATTTTAATCTCTAAAATATTAAATATATTTTTATATGATCTCTCAAACAGACAGTATCTAGATTGTTAACAATTTTTTTATCATAAACTTGTTACGTGATACTTAAATTTTATTTGATATTTGATTTTATTGATAAGTTTAATTTGGAATCCAATAACATGAAATTAAATTCGAATGATGAACGACGCAGAAATTAAGCACGCGACCAAATAATTTGAACAACTACTAGAACATGATCAATAGTTGAGCATCATTGCGTAAATTTTTTTATGTTTTATTTTATTAAAACAATTTCGGCCACACTTTTTTATTTTACTATATTTTCAAAGGCACCCCTTCTATATAACAAATATCACCGATACCTCTTTTAGTTTATATTTAAACATCACTAAAACACTCTTGCCATTAAACCACCATTTATAATAAAAATAAATTATCTCAAATACCAAAATTACCCCTACATAAATATCAAATAACCTTTTACCATAAAATTAAATTAAATTTGAACTGATTAGAATTTATCTTTCTATATATTAAAATTCGAGCTGATTAAATTTTTTTTCTACATAATAAAATTTGAGTCAATTAAAATTCGATTCGTGCTGATTATTTTTTTTTTTATGTATTAAAATTTGAGCATATTAAAAGCCTTTTTTTAAGTATTAAAGTTTGAGTTAATTTAAACTCTACTTGAGCTGTTTTTCCCGATTAAAATTTGTTTTGAATAAATTAAAATTTATATATTTTATTTATTAGAATTCAATTTAAGTTAATTAAAATTTAGTTTTTACCTATTAAAATTTGAATCAATTAAAATTTATATTTTTTTTTATATATCAAAAATCGGACCGATTAAAATTTGATGAGTTGATCAAATTTGCTTTGAGCCTCGAATAGAATTTTAATAGCCTCAAATTTTAATATGTAAAAAAATATAATTTTTAATCGACTCAAATTTTAATATATAAGAAATAAATTTTAATTAGCTCAAATTAAAGTTTAATAGACTTGAATTTTAATATGTAAAAAAAAATTTAAACATAGAGGTGGTCTCATTGAAGATAAGTCTATCTAGAGAGGGTGTAAATGAAATTTTTTCTTAAATATATCGTGTGCAATTTAGTAAAATTTCATTCTAATTAATACTTTTAATTTGACAGGAGGTGTCTGTGAGATTTAAAAAATAGAGGAAATATCCTTGAAGATATGACAAAGTAGAAAGAGTGTTGTTGAAATTTTTCATATTTTATTTTATTATTTTGATGATCAATGACTATATAAATTAATAAAAAAATTAAATTATAAATCCATTTTTAATATTACACCCTTTTTTTTCTTTTGTGATTGGATATCACAGTCTTTGTCCAAGACTTAAAAATGGTTCTGTTTAGTTTTTAAAAAAGAGCAATGTTACATGGACTTAAAAATTAGACTTGATAATATTAACTATTGATTTCATTGTGAGTCTCAGCATTTATTGATATCTACTACCTATTCAATGATTGAGATTATCAAGTCTAATTTTTAAATTAATCTAATTTTACTCTTTAAAAAATGTGAATTGAAATGTGGCCGACAAAGTATACCGCATAGTCAAAGGTTTTCACCTTTGCCTGTCGAGATAGCTGGCCACCACCTCACCCTTAATTAAAGATTTATAATTATATGTTTTTAAAAAAATAATCAGAGAATTTATATTACAAACATGCAAAGAAGAAACCTAAAATTTCTTCAGATAGCCTATAATGTCTTGATAAAGTATCTAAAAGGCATAGAGTGGTCTAGTTGTGCCTTGCCAGACCTCACTAGCCCATACTTTCTTCTTTGTTTCTCCACTAGAGTATGGGAAACTTTTGCTCCGTCTCTCTCTCAATCGATAACTTGATCCCTCGCTGCTTTGATTGCACAGCTGCACAAGTCAATTCTTTCAGAAGACTTGATGATTGGTTGGCTAATTTAAGGACTGCGTTGGAAGAACTGAAGCAGTTGAGGAACGATGTGAAGACAGAGGTTGATGTTGCCGAGAGGCAACCAATGATGAAGCGGCTGGAGCAAGTACAAGGGTGGCTTTTACAGGTGGAATCCATGGAAACTGAAGTAAATAAGCTGATAGCAAATGGCAGTCAAGAGATTGACAAGAATTGCTACAATAGGTACAAGTTGGGGAAGAAAGTGGCCAAAAAGATAAAAGATGTGGCTGCTTTGAAGAGCAAAGGAGATTTTGAAGTGGTGGCTAAGAGGTTACCTTCAGATATAGTTGATATAAGACCCAGCGAACCAACTGTGGGCACGGAATCGAATTTTAGCAAGATCTGGGGGCACCTCCAAGAAGAACATGTGGGAATTATTGGGATATATGGGTTAGGAGGAGTTGGGAAGACCACTCTGATGACCCAAATTAACAACAAGTTTGCCAGCCCAACTAATGATTTTGATGTTGTGATATGGGTAACGGTGTCTAGTACTGTAGATATGGATAAAGTTCAGGATGACATCGGGAAAACAATAGGGCTTCATAACGAAACATGGAACAATAAAAGCCTAGATGAGAAAGCTATACAAATATATGGAGTGTTGAGCAAAAAGAAGTTTGTTTTATTGTTGGACGATATATGGGAGAGTCTTAATCTCTCACAGGTTGGGATTCCAATTCCAAACGAGCAAAATAAGTGCAAGGTAGCATTCACAACACGCTCTGAGGAAGTGTGCGGCAAAATGGATGCTCAAAAAAAGGTTAAAGTCGAGTGTTTGCCATGGGAAAAGGCTTGGGATTTGTTTCAAAAGAAAATTGGTGACGAGACCCTTAAATCAGATCCAGCCATACCCGGGTTAGCTGAACTTGTTGCCAAAGAATGTGGAGGTTTGCCACTTGCACTGATTACTGTAGGTAGAGCCATGGCTTACAAGCAAACACCGCAAGCGTGGAAGCATGCTATTAAAGTGTTGAAGAACTATGCCGTGCGATTTCCAGGTATGGAAACAAAGGTGTTTTGTCCTCTACATTTAAGTTATGACAGTCTACCTAGCGACACAGTGAAGTCTTGTTTCGTATATTGCTCTTTATACCCTGAAGACTCGCTTATTCTTATAGAGGACTTGATAAACAAATGGATTGGTGAGGGATTCTTAAATGAATGGAATGACAATGAAGATGGAGCTGAAAATCAAGGGTATGACAATATTGACACTCTTCTTCAAGCATGTTTGCTGGAAAAGATATCTAGTGACAAAGTAAAAATGCATGACGTGATACGTGAGATGGCATTGTGGATAGGTCGTGAATATGAGAAGCAGACCGACAAGTTTTTGGTGCGAGCAGGTGGGAGGGAGACTAAAGCACCAGAAGTTTCAAAATGGAAAGAGGTAAAGAGGATGTCTTTGATGGTAAATAAAATTGAGAGACTAATAGGAACACCAATATGCCCTCAGCTCACAACTTTGCTTCTAAATGAAAATTCTTTGAAGATGATCAGTAGTGGCTTCTTCCAATATATGCATGCTCTCAAAGTTCTAGACCTGTCAATGAATAGAAGTCTAGTTGATTTACCATTGGAAATTGGTGAATTGACTTCATTGGAGTATCTTAATATATCTTGCACAAAAATAAGTCGGTTACCAGTTCAGCTCCAAAACTTGGTAAATTTAAAAATTTTGGATATGGATTATACAAAATGTGATCAAACTTCAATACAAGTGATATCAGGTCTATCATCCTTGCAAGTGTTGAAGATGATTGACAGTGTTTTCATCAACAATGAAGCTTTGGTAGAGAAATTGGATGCTTTGAAATTCTTATATTATTTGAGTATGACAATGGGAAATGCCTTTGTTTTCCAAGGACTTAAAAAGTGCCACAAGTTACAGAGCTGCATTCGATATTTAAGGTTGCAATTTTTCAGTCGTTGCATCACTTTCAATATATCTTCTCTGCAATTTCTGAAGTGTCTAAATTACCTTAATGTCTCGAATTGGGATGATTGTGAAGATTGGGTGATTGATTGGACTGTAGAAGGAAAGGAGATAGAAACTAGTAATAATCCTCTCGACTCTCATATCAAGAACCCACCAAGCTTCCACAGCCTTCGTACAGTAATTATTATGGGATGCCGAAGGTTGAAAAACGTAAAATGGCTTCTCTATGCTCCAAACCTCGTGTATCTTGAGATAATGGATTGTTCTAAGATGGAAGAAGTAATTAGTAGAGATGAATGGATGGAAGTTGCAAAGAAAGGGAAAATTTCAAACCCATTTGCAAAATTGGAATCTTTATATATTCAGTATCTTCCACAACTAACGAGCATCTACCACAGTCCCCTTCCCTTCCATTGCCTGAAATACCTCAACGTAAGAGAGTGTCCAGGGCTGAAGAAGCTTCCACTCAACTCTGATAGCGCTAGAGAACATCGAACTGTCATTGCCGGAAGCAAAGACTGGTTTGATAAGTTGGAATGGCACGACGAAGCCACACAAAATGCTTTTCTTCCAGGTTCCCAAATTCTGCAAGGAGGTCTCAGTGTACAGATAGCATAAGGAAGTGATCCAGGTGGGCTCTTATTCTCTACAATATCCCAATTGTTCTTCATGTATTCATGAATATTTTTTCTATCTGCTATTTCTTATTCTAACGTTAAGATTATTTGATGAATCGCATTGTAGATCTCTAAATCCTGTGCTATAGAATTCTCTCCGTGACAAATAAGCTACTTCAGCTCAACAAATAAGCTTGAATATTGTCTTCACTGATGTGATACCTGCCCATTACTGCTTCTCGGGTGTGGTGGCTGCGTTGCAATTGCTCACCAACCATTTCCATGATGTATTTCTATTTCTTTCTTATTCAGTGGTGCTTATGTAAGAGTGTTTCTATGTCTATTCAATGTAGTGCTTTGGTGTTTGAACTTCAAACAATGTTAATGTTTTTTCACTTATTGAATTGGTGTTTGATCCTTCAATAGGTCACTAGTTTTTCACCAAGTGAATTGGTGTTTGATCCTTCTATAGTGTTTGTTAATACTTGTTTTCACTTCACTTCTTGTTAGGAACACAATTTGTCAATTTCTATCAATGCTTATATGTAATTTTGACAGTTGAAACACTGGTAGCCCATTCATTTTGAAATTGCTTGAATTATTACCACCCACAATCTATTAGGTCAGCAAATTCGATCAAACTTTTAGGTCTCAATAGCATTACTCATCGACATGAACTACATTGTAGAGTTTTCTGTAATAGAAAATAATACTCGTACTTAGATAGTAAGCCACATGCCAAAACTCTTACAATCTGCAATATTTTCTTACTATCAATAATGGTTGGAAAATTGCATAATCTTTGCTGTAATTTTGATCCCAATTAGGTCAACAAAACTGTTAACTAGGCCATATATATCTTGTTGTATTTCATAGCTTCAACATAAGATCAAAGCCCGTTGAAGGCTGTAGATGAAAAATTAAACACAACAAAGTTAGGAGTAAAAAATAGCAAAAAAAAAAAGCTGGAGATTCTAGAGTTCGTCCTTTCAATTTTCCAAAGCAAATGGATTAATCATTATTTTTACTATAGGATTCATATCTAAAATAGCCAAGCTAAATTCTAGTTGTTTTATGATTAATCCATATACCACTTAGACCCAACTGTTATGTGCACAAATAGTTGGTTATTGGTACACATAATGAGTCAAAATATTTACTTTATACAATTTTTACTTTGGACTTAACTTCGTCAATAATTTGAATTGATAGTTTATTTTTTTTTCTACTATCATTCATAGCACATAAGATAAATTTATAGGTAACTCACAGTCTCTTAGGTTCGACAACAAAGAAACTCAATCGGTTCGACATTTAAACTTTTAGTGGATTACTAGCCAGATGACTAATTGTCACTTAGTAGTTTTTAGCACACAAACTCTCAATTTCAAACCCACACCCATACCCACCTCTGGGCATATACACTCGTTCTCTTTCTTCTCATGTTTGCTTATTTTGAATGTCATGGTGGCAAAAGGGTCTCACCCGATGATGCTTCGCTTTTTTTTATTTATGTGCTAATTATTGTCTTTTAATTTCTATGGCAGCAAAAGAGGAACGCCAAGGAAGTCCAATGCTTTATCCTTTTTAAGTATTTTGTGAAGGCCAAAGCTTTTTTTTTTTTTTTCTTAACTATCAATAGATGCGAGTTGATGTGGATTGTTGCGATTTTGATTTCGTAATTTTAGAGAGAATTTGATGTTAATTTTTTTGGGAATTAATTAATTTTAATGCAACTTTTTTGTTGGGAATTATTTAATTTTGATGAGATCTAATAATGATTTGGTTCATGATATCTTAGATTTTGGATTGAACACGCAAATAAATATTGGGTTTTGATCAAGAATAATGGTCTAAAACATGTATAGTTTGCTTCTATTCCGGTCGAAATTAAAAATTTTTTTGGCATGTTGTTCTCTAAAAGGGATCACTCAGTGGTGCCTCCAGTACTACTGTTGCTGACCTTAATATAGTTTTAAAGAATATTTTATGACCTTTCTCTCTGTTGGGTATTTGCTCTCTTAATGTTTTGAGTTTTCTTTGTGTATATATATTGGATTCACGCTAGATTTTTGATACACTTTTTTCAGCAGCTGAGAAAAAAAGAAAAAATCATGAATTGGGTGTTTAGTATCACATTACATGTTGTGTTTGCTATCAATCACTTGTTTAATTCTGTTGCTACTGCGTTAAGTTTGAATTGGTTCAATTTTACTTTGTCGTTGATCGTTAACTATTGTTGAATTTTTTGGTACAATCCATGCTATGGTAGCACCGGGTAGGCGTCAGACTCTATACATCGTGTTACCACTTAGCAGAATCTTGTGTTTTTAATATACCGTCACTACCCCATATATTAGACTATAACATTATGAAGCCCTCATAAAATAAGAAAGCTAGCTTTTCATAGGAGAATCAATGCACTTACAATGGTTTTAATGGTTTTAGCTTTCATAATTGTAATTAGGTTTGATTTGATGCAGTCAATTGACTTGCATTGTGTTTGGTGTGGAAGTTTTTTTTTTGGTTATTTGAATTTGTAGCAGTAGCTTATTACTACAGTGAATGAGTTAATGAACAAATTAATCTATACTACTAATAAAAGTACTTTAAGTGAAAAAATTTTGATTCACTATTTTACCCTCATAAAAAATTCTAAATATCATACTATATTTCCATAGTCGAATTTCTAAATTACAATTACATCCTTATGTATTTAAATTTTCAAGTTAGATTCTAACATCTCTTTTAATTTTTTATTATCTTTGTATAAATATCAATATCTATGAAAAATTTTAATTGATTATGTTACCCTTAAAAAAAATATATGCATTATTATAGTTTTCAATAAAGTGTTCAAAAATTTATTCAATATTTTATTACCATTTTCAAATATAGAGACAACATTATGCCTATATATATGTATTTTTTTTCCATTTATACTACTAATAAAGAATAATGAAACTTTTGCCTTAGCATAAAAAAATTTTGATTCATTATTTTACTCTTATAAAAAATTTTAAGTACCACACTATTTTTCTATAGTTGAATATCTAAATTACCAACAAATATTTATGTATTTAAATCTCTAAATTATCCCTAACATCTCTTTTAATTATTTGTTTACTATGTATAAATATCAATATCTATGAAACTTTTTAATTGACTCTATTACCTTTAAAAAATATATGTATCACTCTAATTTTTAATAAAACGTTCAAAAAATCTTCAAAAATTTCAAAAATATAATATTATTTATTTTAAATATAAAGATAACGTTATACTTACTTATGTGTATTTTTTTTATCCAAAATTGTAACTATTTTATTTTTTAAGATAAAAAATAATCCTTTATGTATTTTTTTTAAAAATAATTTATGTTAAATCAACATAATTCTTCAATCACTATAACCTTTTCATGTTTTATTAAGAGTTTATAGAAAAAAAAAATTATAGTATATTCTTAAGGAAAACTTGAATTTTAGAATTTTAATATTTTTAAAATATATATTGCAGAGTAATATATTATAATTTAGAGTTAATAATACTTGTAGTCCTTAAAATATACATGTTTTGATAGTTTGGTCTTCATTGTATCAATTTGTCAATTTGATCCCTAAAATGTTTAGTTGATGTTTAAATGATCCATACACAGACAGTCTATTTTTTTTTTTTGGACAGAAGTGATCACATGCTGGTTACGTGATACTGTCTGATAGAATGACACATAATCACTTATGTTAAATAACTTAATGGATCGTCTGATTATGAATCATTTAAACAATAATTAAATATTTTAGGGACCAAAAACCATAGATTTCAATGAAGAACTGTATAATAAGATAACTATAAATCACAATTATATGTACAAATCAAATAAAAAAAGCAGAATAATATGTACATTGGTATTAATTATTATTAAGAAAATTAGGTAGACAGAGGGTCATGACTCTTCGACTATATATTAACTATGATTTATAACATAGTAATATATTTTTTCAGCTTTTCATACTCTCAACTAAATGATTGTCTATTAGAAACTAAGTAGACATTGACATCATTTATGTCTCTTAATCTTCTTTTGTTTAATCGTATTTTAATCAAATTCTCTCACTCAGAAAACAAAGCAAAAGGCCTCTGATCGCTATACAAACCAATTAAAAAACCTTTTAACTTCTCTCTTTCGCCATCCAGTTTGAAAACCTTTATCTTCTCTCTCTCCTTTCCCCTCCCCTCTCTCTCTTAAACACCCTTCGAAATCGGATAAACTACATATACATAATACTTTTTACTATATATTTTGTATGCAAAAATTATTCACGTGCAACGTACATAGTGCATTAGTAGTGAATAGTAGAAGTCTCAATGTGTGTGGTTGGTGCTCAAATGGGTTGCACTAATTTCTTAATTTTGAGATCTGAGTTGTGAAAATCTTATGGATTTGTTGTGAGTTTTGCAGATTTTGGTTACTATGGTGTGATAGTGAGATTTTTAATAGCCTTTTTGGGTATGAAAATAAATTGTATNTAGCATAAAAAAATTTTGATTCATTATTTTACTCTTATAAAAAATTTTAAGTACCATACTATTTTTCTATAGTTGAATATCTAAATTACCAACAAATATTTATGTANGTGATAGTGAGATTTTTAATAGCCTTTTTGGGTATGAAAATAAATTGTATAAACAAGTTGAAAATTTTTGGGGTTCCATTTTTAGGAAAAATTCTAGCCAATTTTTTTTAAAATATATTGAGTTTAAATTTTTATCCAATGAATTTTTGTTACTAATTGTTGTTTTGTTTTTAGTTATTCAACTTCTAAAGGCATAGGCATAAGATCAATTGAACCTATCATCTTGATTTGTTTTAGTTTTGCTTGGATTTTAAACTTTTTTTGTAATAATTTTTATATGAGGGTTGATATGGATGTTAATTAAATGTGTGGATTTGGAATTGTAGATTGGATTTGATCAAATTTTTTTAGGCACAGGTTTTGTCCATTTTTTTTTCAGAANT